CTCTGAGAAGCCTGAGAGACCCAGGGAGGCTTCCAGGGGAGACGTAGATAAGCCTGTAGAGTGCACAGAATCTCCAGAACAACTTTTTAAAAGGCAGGTCTTCTGGGAAGATGCTTTAAAAAAGAAGTTTCTTGGAATTGTAAAATAAAATAGATAGTGGAATAGAGCAGCACAGTGCTTGTCAGAGAGAAGCAGCTCAGCATTGACAACAGGTATGGGAGCTGCGCCACTGGCCCACTTCTCCCCATTGTCGCTCCTTGCCCGATAGGTCAGCCCTATCACTCAACCCCAAGTGGAGTCACTGCTGCTGCTTAAGCCGCCCCCCCCCCACATGCTGGGGGGAGGAGAGCATGGGACCAAGGTGCTACCTTTAGGCTGCAAGCACTCTACCCAACTCATAATCACTCTCTCTCTGAGCAACAAGAAGATATCTGAGATGAAGAATGGTTTGTTTTCTGGTTAAGTCTCCTTGAAAGACTTCTGTGGTCCATGATGTCATCAGATGCCATGCTGCTGCTGCAGGCCATGTGGATATCCAAGGTCCTTGTTGTGGTCAGAGGCCTTGTTGATGTTCATGATCCATGCTGCCACTGGGGACCAGGTGATGCCCTTGAACTGAATTGCCGCTGGAAACCATGTGGAAGTCTGTGATCCATGCTGCTGCTGGCTGCTATGAGCAAGGAAGCTTCTTTTGCAGTGATATCAATGACTGAAAACTCATAGATTGAGAGCCATTGAAAATGAGAGCCCCCCCCCCCAAAAAAAAGAAACAGTCTAGACAAGGAAGCTTTGAATAGAGTCCTTAAAAACTGTGATAGAGATGCTGAAGCTCTTTACAGTTCATGGCTTCTGGTGGGGGTGGGGTGGGGGGAAGCACTCAGTTTTCTTTAAGGGACTGACCACTGAGGGTTTGACCATGCTCCAATGAGTATATGGGCAACACAAATTGGATTTGATTTTTTTTTTTTTTTTTTGGATGGGGCACAAGGGTGGGAGGGTGGATCTAGGAGGAACGAGAAGTGAGTGTGATTGGGGTATATTGTATGAAATTTCCAAATAATTAATAAAAATATTATGTTTTGGGGGAAGTATATTTATGATTGTAAAAAGAATTTTTTATATTAGCCCCAGATACTTGAGAGGCTAGGGAAGATCACTTGAGTCCAGAAATTCAAAGCTAGCCTGGGCAACATAGTGAGACCTAGTTTAAAAAAGAAAGAATCCAGCCAGGCAGTGCTGGTGCACACTTTTAGTCCCAGCACTCAGGAGGCAAAGGCAGGCAATCTCTGTGAGTCCGAGACCAGCCTGGTCTACAAAAACGAGTTCCAGGACAGGCTCTAAAGCTACAGAGAAACCCTGTCTTGGGGGGAAAAATTTCCAAATTAGTATCTGTTACTCCTATGTGTAAAATCCTTTGGTGCCACTTTTTTGTGGTGAGAGGAAACCATGCCTACAAAACACACTTGATTGATCCTCTGCCTTGTACCTTACTCCTCTGCTCACCCATCCTGCAGACTCCCCCAAGACTGTGGTTGTTAGTGCCTTCTCCTTATTTCCATCTCCTGCTGTTCCCTGTCCCAACCAGCTGAGTCTTCAGTTCCCTCCTACAGTACCTCTCTTCCTTGTCTTATTCCTTCTGCATTGCCAGTACAGGACAGAGAGTCTGGACCAGGGCACAGACACATAATGCCCATTGCATGGCAAATGAATGTTGTTGCCCAAGCATAAAAAGCACTCCACCCCACACTTCTCACCCTCAGATAGCTCCAAAGCAGCCCTCAATGCTGTCTCCACTATTTGGATTTGAGCCTCTGCTGCACACCTTCATTACAACTGCCTTTTCAAGGCCCTTATGACATGTTTCTGTGGTTGATTAAAGCCTGCTTCTCAGCAGCTGGAGGACAGAACAAGACTGTCTGTCTTGTTGCTTTCCCAGGTACCCAGTACATCCATTTGCTCGGTGGATGAAGGAAGGAAGGCAGTCCACACTTGGAATGTTCATGCCCTAAGAATGTGCTAGGGGCTTCTGGGCTGTGATTTCATCAGCATGTGGATGGAAGAAGGGAATTCAAGGGGCCTCTAGTCCAAGGGGCCTGCCTCATGCTGTCTGTGTGTTCAGTGCAGGCTTTCATGTTGTCCTTCTTTCTTTTATCCATTCATTTGACACTTTCCCCGGTGGGGCATAGAGTCTAGGAACACTCTCAGTTCGTTTCATTGGTTCTGGCATTTTTTTGTTTATTTCATTTATCCAATAAATATCCCATTGTGCTTTAAAAGTGAAGCCCTGCTGTATAAGAGTTAAAATATAGTAGATAAAGAACATTTACCATAGAAGTTCAGATCCTGTTTTTGTCATGGAATGGTTTAGAACGGGGCTTTAATTTCAGCTGAGGGACCTGCTTTCCACATCCCAGAGCACCAGGAGACTCAGAGCCATAACAACTCCACTCAGAAGTATGACCCCAAACCTACTATTAAGTGAATATAAAGCTCCTAACTAATTTAATTTTTCACTTGTTTTATGTGTTTAATTTTTTTAATGCAGGATCTCAGGCAACCCAAGCTTGCCTTGAATTCACCATGTAGCCATGGCTAGGCAAGAACTCTAACCCTAAGCTATATCTCCAGCTAGGGATTTGTGTTTTGTTTTGTTGACATGAGCTCTAATATTGTCCAGTCTGGTTTCAAATTTCTTTGCTTAAGAGATCCTACTGCCTTACTTTTCCAAAAAGTTGGGACTTCAGGTACCCACCAGAATGCATAGCTTAACTAATTTAATTGTTGAAGTTTACTACTGGTAAATTCTCTTTTTCACTATTCCTTTTCCCTCTAAAATATCAGCAGTGTTATTTGTTTGCTTGCTTGCTTGTATGTTTATTTTCAGACAGGGTCTGAATAAGCTGCCAGGCTGTCCTAGAACTCACAGGATAGCTCAGACTGGATTCTAACTGGAATTCACTAACACACTAGACTGGCCTTGAACTTGAGACCCTGCTACCTTTGCCTCTAGGGTATTGTGATTATAGGCGTGTCTCACCTTGCCTGGCCAAATACTAGCAACTCTTAAAAGGACAACTAAAGCTTAGGAGCATAGGTTTATAAAAATCTTGATAAATTATAGATATTACCCAAATTATATAAAAATTATATAAATAGCCCACACACATATAAGTGACCCACAGCAGGTCAAGAAGCTAGCATGCAAAGGGTGCAGATCTGAAACGGGTGCCTGGTCATCTAACTGCACTGTTTCTTGCCAATTTTCTGCAAAAATCATTGTCTTAGTAATGATTACCTGAAGCTAACACAGTCATCACCAGGCTTTCTTCATGTACAGAAGCCATTGTTTGACTACAAAACAACGCCCAAGTGTTTCGGATAAGAATTTAGTATTTAAATGTGTGTAAACAGAATTATCTTAAAGCTCATAGCAGATTCCCTCAGGGGTTTGGATTTTTTGTTTAAGTTCACTTTTGGCTTTTGTTTGTAATGCCTTTTAAGGATGCCCTGGTACTTCATAGTCATTCACACTATTGTCCAACTGTGGCTGGTCCTTCTCTCAGTTTTAGAGATTACACCAGTTTGCTCTACTTGTAGATGTTACAAATATATTTGGAAACTTTGTTTCCACTTAGCTTCTTGTCTTGAGGACCCATCCCTTGCCACATCAGCTAACCCCAGCACCAACCAAACCCCTTTGCCCTGTTTGTCACTTGGCTTCCTTTTTGCTGAAACTCTTAGCACCTAAGCATAGATGACGTCTCTTGATTCAAAAATCATAAAGTGTGCCTGAGATTTGTGTGGGTACTGTGTCTGCACTGAAATCAGCATTATCAGTGAGCCTGTACCCATGTGCTTCTGCTTGGCTCTCACACATTTCACCCTTGGAGCAGTGTGTGACCAGAGAAGCTAGATGGTTGACCATCACACCAATGTTGGAGCTAAAATGTACATCTCCTGCCCCCAGCTTTCCCAATTGCCTGAGGTTCCTTCACTGATGTATTTTGAAACAGTTATCTCATTCCAGAACTGAGAAATAGTTTTTCTCAAGGAACTTTCTGTTCTGATCATCATAATGGGACTTGACTTGGGAATGGACTTCTGGCTTTCATCTAGAACATGTGAGGTTATTTCTGTAGATCTTGAATTCAAACCCATCTGGTATTTGGATTCATCCATATTTATTAAACACTTATTACATGAAAGGCACCAAAGACACAATGGAGACCAACACATACATGATTCTAGCCATCAGAGTGTCATATTCTCTCTCTCTCTCTCTCTCTCTCTCTCTCTCTCTCTCTCTTTCTCTCTCTCTCTTTCTGTCTCTCTGTCATGTGTGAGAGTGAGTGTGCAGGTGTGTGTGTGTGTGTGTGTGTGTGTGTGTGTGAGTGAGTGAGTGAGTGTGCAGGTATGTGTACTTACATGTGGATTCCAGAGGAAGATGTTGGACTTCTTTCTAAGCTTTTTCCCCTGAGAAAGGGTCACTTACTTTCTCAGCTAGACTAGCCAGCAAGCTCTTGTGACCCACCTGTCTCTACCTTGTAGCATTAGGGTTACAGCACAAACAACTGTGCTCAGCTTCATAGGTACCCATAAAGGACATGCATGTGGCAGGAACATGAAGCCCAAACTTGGCAGATGAGAAAGGCTTCTCAGAAGGGACCTCTGAAGTGAAGACTAAAGGATGAGTGAGAGTTTTAACCAGATTAGAATTGGAGTAGGGGTATCTGGGCTACATAGTGAGTTCTAGGACAACCAGGGCTATTTAGAGAGGCCCTGTCTTTAGGAAAAAAAAAAAATGGAGTAGGGTGGGAAGTGCAGGTTCTAAGAAGTGGAAGAGGAATATGAAGACATGCAGATGAAAATGTGGTCCCTAAGCCTCCATTCTTATTATGAGGACGGATCCAATGATCCAGCTGTTAGGAAGAGCTGGATAAAATAGGTCATTGGCAAGGCTCATGCTCAGAAAAAATAACCTTTTTCTCATGTCTTAATAGAAAAAGCTGGAGTCCCCACCATCGTCTACCAACCCCTTCCTGGAAGAGGAGACAACACCAGAGATGGAGGAGCTGGCGCTGGAGAAAGGGGAGTTAGAGCAAGTGAGTCTGCTTGTGTTATAGTTGTAACCAACTCATGCACCTTTGTGAAGGTGAGCTGGCTCACTTCACATAGGGTCTTTGTCTAGTGACCACACTCAGAGATCACAGTGGCAGTGAGCTTTACAGAGGGCCTTGTGTGAGGGCGTGGTCAGAAAACAAAGGGCAGTTTTCTCGCCCCTGACCTGATGCAGAAGAGTCTCCCCTCAGCATCTACCACCACAGGCTTTCCTCAGCCCCTGTGGTAGAGCTGCCTGCCTCGGTCAGCATCTGGGTGTGTCAAGCAGCTTTCCTTCCTCTACTCCAACACCGTCATGATTCGAGATGCTGTGGGAAAAGCAGTGTCATGTTCTGGGAGAGGCCTCCAGACAGAGAAGCCAACATGGGAGCCACTGGGGAGGCCTTGAAAACATCAGGGTGACCAGCACATCTTTGGAGAGTTCTTTTCAGAGCACACTAGCACTTTTAATTTCCTTCAGCACTTTCTGTCTAGCTCAAAATTTCCTCTCCCTTCTTCCTGCAGAATGTTGTTTTTGTTTCATTGCTATTTTATGTCAAGAAAGGTTAGAGCAGTAAGTCAGCCATTTCCTTTCTGGATTAGTGCTCCTTCTTTTTAATTTTTACACTTGGCTGCTAGAGGATTATTTGGTGGCATTGTTTCTCTCCAGACACCAGTCAAAGGATGGTGGCTGGGACACCAGCCCAAGGAAACCCCCAGCCGCACACTGTGCAGCTAGCTCTGTGTTCCTAGTGTGGCAAGGTTGTGTGAATTCTGACAGGGGTCAGATAGCAGAATTCCTAAGGACCATTAAATATGTCTGTTCCATTGATTAAGTAATTGTAACAACACAGATACCTCACACTTAAGACACTTTATAATTTCAAAATCTTTACACACTTTCTTTCATTTCACTTCACAGTGCCTCCCTCTGGTTTTACAGGTGATCAAAATACAGCTTTGAGAAGCTAAACAGTTTGCTCAGGGCTATGAGTTTGGAAATGGAGGGGCTGCGACTAGCAGCTAGGTCTAGCAGATAGAAGCTGGAATTCCTTTCCTAGCCCACACCAACCCCCAACATGCACACACTTCCTGTCTTATTAAAAGGTGGAGGCCATAGAAATTAAGTTTATGGGCAAAAGTAAATGGGTAGAACTGAAGGGTTGCTGTGAGTCTGTCCCAGAAAAGTGAGGCTAGCTGCAACTGATTTAAAGCCACTGAATCATCGGGCAGCACAGAAATGGGAATATTGCTTCTGACTCCAGAACAGTTCTCAGTGTGGAAACAAATACTCAGGTTACAAGGGCTTCATTCTTCCTGTAAATGCCCCCTCACTGGGCCATCTGCTCAGTAGAAGAATGCCTTGTGTAGCCATGCTTTGTATGGGACTCTCCTGACTCCCCCATGGTATAAGCTGCCTTTATCATGATGAGAACCATGCAGTTTGATCAAGATGCTCTGTAGTAGTTGGTCACCTCTGAGTGTCATTACACTGAAGTAGCAAAGTTCCTTCATACCTTTGCACAATTTTGATTTTGTTTTTGTCTTGGAGCTTTTTCCTCTTCATGAAAGCTTGAAGTAATTATGGTAAGACCAAGACCTGCTGGATCAAAGGACAGTGAACATTGATCTTGGACAAGCAGTTGTAAAAGCAGAGCTTGTGGTGAGGAAAATGCTGGACCTGTGTCTGCTACTCAAAGCTGCATGGCCTCAGATAGGTTTTAGGTTCTCAACCTCCCTGCTGTCTGCATTGTGACTTGTGGTGATATATTATTTATGATTTATTAAAGCTTGCCTGAGGGTACAGAAAACAAAGATAGCCACAGAGCCAGGCAGTGGTGATACACACCTTTAATCCCAGCAGCTATGCTGGTAAGCCATAGAGCCAGGCAGTGGTAGCACACATCTTTAATCCCAGGATCAGGAGACAGGCAGATGGATCTCTGTTAGTTCAAGGCCACACTGAACTGCAAGAAATTGATCAGTCCTGAAGAGAAACAGCTCACACAAAGGTGATCTTGTAAGACCCCTGGAAAGCTCAGGCTTCCAGCATCTTAGCCAGGACCTCAGCCACCCCAATCACAGAATGGAGGCGAAAGCTTGATGCAAATTGCATGAGACTTTATTGTAGTTTAACGAGCTACCCCCATGTTAGCTCGGTTCTTTGATCCCCCCGCCATGTTGGATGGCTAGGAAAGACAGTTCGAAGCCGCTTCGTACAGATCTTTATAGGGCAGCGTAGGGGAGTGTCTAGGGGTATGCACAGGTTCAGGATTGGTGTGCCTCCAGGCTTGGAGGGTTTGCCCTGTGTTGATTGGTCAACTGGTTGTTATGGCTCATAGGCATCTCCCAGGGTGGTTGCTATGCTCTCTGCGTCATTGCTGGGCGCTTGTCTGTAAAGCACACCCAAAGCCATAAAGAATAGCACCCCCAGCTAACTTCTGATTGGTTCCTTGCCACGAGGCAGGCATCTGACCTCTAAGTGACCAAGGCAAGGCTATGGCAAGCACGTGTTTGGCTGTTATGGCTGCCGAAATGGGGAGCTGGCCCCTTCATTCTCAGCACTTGAGATCACACGCTTTTAATCCCAGTATTTGAAAGGTATAAAAGGAAGAAACAAAGTCAGTCTTAGAGAATTTGTCTCCAGCCACGTTGAGGAGAGGCAACAGTTTGGGATTGCAGTCTGAGAATTCCTGGAGACAGAGTTGCCATTTCAGTCTGAGGTAGAGGTAAGAGCTAGTGGCTTGGCTGCTTTGCTTCTCTGATCTTCAGCTTGAAGCTTGAACCTCAGTATCAGTCAATGGGTTTTTATTTTTCTTGTTACAGTGGCTTTCATGCTGTATTCTTTGATGGACCGTCAGACATGGGGAGTTGGGAGAGTACAGGACCAAGGTCCCTGTAGCAAGAGCAGCTCCCTTGTGAGTCACTTTGTATGTGGACTTCCAGACCAAACTTGTTTTAAACATGAAATTTTACATATGTTTAAACAAAAACTAATAAAAAAATCCCTAATCTAGATGATGTCCCCATAATCCAAGGTTGTTCTTTGTCAGTAATGACACTCACACAGTGACAAATGTCCCCCACATGTCACTCCCACCTCTTGCTGGCTAGATGGAGTCTCACTCTCCCTCCCAGCAGCCATTTGGCTTCTGGATTTCTGTGTACCAGAAGAACAGGAGCTCTTGGAGTGAAGAAACTCCACACCTAAGGCTAGCCTAAGTATGTGGGGGAAGCCCCTACCTGTTGTCCTGGGTTACTATAGCCATCTCCATGCTACAGCCAGTAGGCAGTTGGCCCCCAAGGTCAAGGCCAGCTCTTGCTCCCTGCTGCAGTTTGTGCCTAGCTGTTGGGAAGGGAGTGTGAACTTGAAAAGCAGTGTTCCCTTCTTGAGAGGACCTGGGTGCTTAGTTGCCAAGATATTCTCAGTGATTAAAAAACCAAGAAAAATAAAACAAAACAAAAACAAAAAAACAAGGGACTGAGGGCACAGGAGGGGAGAGAAGAAATCTGGAATTTCTGGTTTAAAAATGTACCCTCTGGTGATCCGAACAGTTAGATTTAATCTGTTTACATTGGATAGTAATAAAAGGAAATGGGACCAGCTGCAGACCTCCTTACTGTGACAACAGTAACCTTTTATTATTCCATCAAACTCTGGGAGGAAATAGCTTAAACATCTGCAGCCTTTGGACAGAATTCACACACTCAGCAGTCCAGTCTGAATGCTACTGCTAAATGACTTAGTATGCTCTTTAAGCTGCAGATCAGCTCTTTGGGGAGCTGCCTGGTGCAAAGGGAGACCAGTGTGAGCAGAAATTCCAGCACCTACTTGCTACACATGAGCACATTCATAGAGCAGCTGTGGGCAGGGGCAGCCCTGTGGACAAGTAGTAACAGAAAGAAACCTGGACGGTCCTTCCTGTTATCCCCATTTTCTTCAGCTCATGATAAAAATGCATCAACAAGGAGCTAGGTACTGTGATGGCAGAACCAATGACAGACAAGACAGGTAGATCAGTCACCTAAGGTGGAGTTGGGACACCAGTCTGTCTGGCAATGCACCTTGTTATGCATTCTGTGAGGCTTTGCCATGCATGCATCGCACCTGTGAAGATCATGCTAGATAGAGGACTTGTAAACCTAGCTCTAAAGAAGCTGAAGCAGTAGGATTGTAGTTCAAGGCCAACCTCAGATTCATAGTTCAAGGCTAGGCTGGTATAGGTGGCAAGGCCCTGTCTCAGACCAAACCAAATGAGCCGATAAGATGGCTCACTGAATAAAGGTGCAAGCATGGCAAACTGAGTTCAGTCCCCAGAACCCATGTAAAGATGTGTTGTGAGGGATCCACTAGAAAAGACTGCTCAGACATGGGTTTAAGCCAATATAAAGTCTTTACTAGTCAGCTAGTAGCTACACTAGGTGTTAGGGATCCCTGAGTCTTTCTTTTAAGCAAAACAAAATCAACAACAACAACAACAACAAAACACTTCCTGGCCTGATATACTTCAATTAACAAGAACAGTTAGCCAGAAGCAGAACTATGGAAGCCAAAAAGCAAGGTTGTTACATTTAGAGACTTCCCCAGAACTATGGATTTTTGATGGATTAAGCCTTTGTTTTTGTTTGACTGGTGGTGTTGTCTTCATGCTGAGTTTTATGGCCTGAATGGTACTTCCATTGTGGAGTCGGTTGTACTAAGTTCTGAAGGCCTACTAAGTTCTGGGGGTATGTTACAGATGGAAGGAGAGAACTGACTCCACAAAGTTGTCCTCTGACTTCCATTTTCCTGCCACACATGAGTGTACATACATACACACACACACACACACACTAATAATAAATAATGATAATAATAAGCAAAACAAAACAAAAGACAGATAGTACTAGTTAATAAAGCGCGCACCTTTGTAAGTGTGAGGCCCTGAGTTTGGATCTCCAGAATCCAAGTAAAAAGCAGGGTGTGGTGGGAAGCACCTATAATCCCTGTCATGTGAGATGAGGGTGAAATAGATCCACTAGCCAGCTAGTCTAGCCTTCTTGACAAAGCTCCAGTCCGAAAGGTGGGTGGCACCTGAGAATGACTCCCTGGGTTTTCCTCATCTCTGCACCTCTCCCCAGCTTGCACAGCACACCTACATGAACATGTGCATCCCCAACATACTCACAGAAAGGAAGAATAATGCTAATGATTATACTTAATCACCGAACAGATACCTGGCTAGAGTAGCCATACTTTTCCAATCTACAGTCAGGCTATCTAGTCCTACAACGACAGATTGAATCACATTTTTCTATATTATTAATAAACCACCTTATCAAAAGGAGTAAAATAAGGAGACAGATAGAGTGGGGTCTGGAGAGATGACCCAGCAGGTAAAATTCTTGCTGCACAAGCACAAAGACCCCCAGCACCCATATAAAAGCGATATGTGATGTGCATACTTGCAAATTATAGGATGCAGGTAAAGTTGACTTTTTTTTTTCTTTCTGTAGCCTTGGCTATCCCATATCATAATAGAGATATCCCCCTGTATCTGCCTCCCAAATGCTGGGATTAAAGACATGAGCCATCACACCCAGCAACATTTAAATTTTTTTGAAAATTATTCATTTTTAATTGGGTTTTTTCTTTTTTGTTTATTTGTTTGTTTGTTTTGAGACAGGCTCTCTCTGTGTAACCCTGGCTGTCCTGGAGCCTGCTGTATAGACCAGGGTGGTCTTGAACTCACAGATCCACCTGGAATTAAAGACATGAACCACTGTCAGCTAAAAGACAATTGTAACCCATTACAGTGGTTTGTAAATAACCAGATGCTAAGAAGGTAGATGCATTTTTGTCTATCATTGGATGGTAGCTTTTGGCAGTGATTTCAGAGTGGAGGAGAGGGAGCACGTACCTTGATACTCTTCTGGAGGTCAGAGGGCAACTTCGAGAGTTGGTTCTTGTCTTGCATCACATGGGTTCTTGGGATTACGCTCAAGTTGTCAGGCTTGGTGCCCCCGTACTTTGTTTTGAGAGTGGGTATCACCATATTGCCAGGGTTGTTCTCAAGCTGTGGGCTCAAACTGTTCTCTTGTCTCTGTCTCTCATGTAGCTAGAACTACAGGTATGTGCCTCCACACGTAGTATTTATTTATTTATTTTTTAGTGCTCATTAGATAGAAGCCGTTTAAGAGGGTAGGCTTATATAAAATATCCTTACCACTAATCTCCACCCATCATCATATTCATAATCAAAATGGAGGTGAGAGGAAGGAGGAGCTTTGATGGCAGGCAGTATTAGTTTCACAAATGTATGCCTATCCCTTTATTTAGTGTGATATTTATACACTGAGTGTGTGTGTGTGCGTGCGTGCGTGCGTGCGTGCGTGCGTGCGTGCGTGTGTGTGTAGCTCCTCTGTATAGGTTTTTTTGTTTTGTTTTTTAATATACCAGTGGAGTCACATCTCTAGCCCCCCCCCCTTTTTTTTTCTGGGATAGTATGGTGTTATGTCACTGAGGCTGGCCTCAGATTTCAGCTCCTGTTGCTCCAGAGTGCTGAGATAGCAGGAGTACAGGAATGGTGCCCAGTTCAATTTTTGTACAGTGGTCATTCTTTGTAACGCTATTTAATGGAACGTGATGGTAAAGTGCTTCCTAGTGTGCAAGACCTTGGGTTTGATTTCCAGAGCTACAAAAAGAATAAAAGAGTGGGAGAGTTCTAATCAGCAAGTATGTTGTAGGCATGGCTTATATTAAATTTGAAAACTATATCTTTGGCTCAGAGTCCTTTTGCTGACATTTGGCAGTAGACAGATTAACAGCTTTTTAAGGAGTAGAAAGTAAGAGGGAGAGTCTTATTTTTTTTTAGATACTTAGAAATAAATTGGGGGGAGGCCTGGAGAGATGGCTCGGAGGTTAAGAGCACTGACAGACTGCTTTTCCAGAGAACCTGAGTTCAATTCCCAGCAACCACATGGTGGCTCACAACCATCTGTTATGAGATCTGGTACCCTCTTCTGGTGTGCAGATATACATGGAAGCAGTATGTTGTATACATAATAAATAAATAAAATCTTTTAAAAAAAGAAATGAATTTGGGAGAAAATATAATTTTTAAACAATTGCTGCAAAATAACCTGTTTACCAGTGGTTTTCAAGTATCAGTCTCCCCACCATAAGTTTACCAGTCATGCTTTCTTAGACAAGATGCCTCATGCCAAAGCACTGTAAATGGTGAAGCTAGAAAGTAGAGAACAAGTGGTAACCCCTCTGTTGGCCTCCTGCTCCTCTCTCTTCTTACATTATTTGTTAGTGAAAGTCAACAGTCTGGGGAACTCGCAGGAGGTAGCAAGTCTGACCATATCATGTGCCTTGGGATTGCTGGTAGAGAAGCTTAGCACTTCCGTTTCCTGGGCTGTGTAGTAGTAGTAGCAGTAAGACCATCATGAAGGAAAGATGAGAAGGTGTCTAACATCAAGGTGTATAATAGCAATGAGCAGAGACTACCAATACAGTGTTCTTTAAAATCAGCACAGATTTAACATTCTAAAACATCCATTGATGATAAGTTTCTGTATATAATATCAGAGTAGCATTAAATTTTCCAGCACACACAGCAAGTCAGAGATACTGACAAGAGCTGGTGGAGACTCACTGGATGGATCATGGTGTGAAGCAGCCCTATGTCCACTGCTCCTCTCTGTGAGCTAAGACTGAACTCTGATGTTTTCTTTGAAATTGCTTAAAAACTTGCATAGGTTGCTCAAACATAGGGTTCGTGTTCATTCTTATTTTCCCCTTCTCTCTTTCCAGCCAAAGAAGCCCAAAGCCCCAGACAATCCATTTCATGGCATTGTTTCCAAGTGTTTTGAGCCTCATCTCTACGTATACATTGAGTCCCAGGACAAGTGAGTGACAAGCATTCTGCTGTCTTCTGCCTGTGTTCCTAGCCTCTTATCTGTTGGGTCCTACACAAGGACCACTCCTTCCAGCACTCATTAAGGATATCATTATATTGTCTGCATGTAACTGTTTATTTTGCCTATTATATTTTTGTTTGAGACAGGATATGTAGCCTTGGCTAACTCATAAGAGATCTGCCTTCCTCTGCCTCTCAACTGCTGAGACTAAAGGTATGTGCCACAACACTGGTATTTTTTCCTCATAAATTTAAGCTGCCTGAGCTTGGCTGTATAAGCCTCCATGTGGATCTGAACACCTCCCACCCCCACCCCTTGTGGGTGCTAAGCTTTTGAGCACTGACCACATATCACTCCACAAAGTGTCAGGCATCCAGACATTATAAGAAAGCCTTGTCCCTGAACTATATGCTTTCAGTTATATTTGGCTTTTCATTGTGAGGTAATTTTGCCTGTGAAAAAAAGCTTTAAAACAGCACAAAAATTCTCCACTAGCCTTCTTCAGGCCTGTGAACATCTTAATGTAAACATAATTATCAAAATCAGAAAGTAAGATTGATCCTTTTTCTGGTCCAGGACTTAATTGTACAATTAGCTGTGGTCTCTGGAGTCTTCTTTGATCCTGACTTCCTCTCTGACCTTGACATTGTCAGAGGGCCGACCAAATATTTCAGATGCTTTGTGAGATGCCATCAGTTTCCATTTGCCTGATGTTGTGCCCCCCAGACCACCTCTTTTGAGATAGTTTCTATGCTGCCCAGGCTGCTTTCCAGTTCCTGGGATCAAGTGATTCTCCAGCCTCAGCTCTCTGAATACTGGAGCTACACACACCATATTGATTAATATATTGTCTTCCTTAAACCCAAGTTATGAGCTGTCATGATAGCATACACTGTAATCCATCACTTAGAAGGTGGAGGCAGGGCAGTTCAAGTTTGGAGCTAGCCTGAGCTGCATATGTCCCCAAACAATAAAATCAGTGGTGTTGCATCCTTCTCGGTGTCAGTCAACTGCTGGTGTTGACCCTATTGACTAAAGTGAAGCCTGCCAGCCTTCCCTACTGTTAAGTTACAGTTTTTTTTTTTTTTTTTCCTTAATTGTCTTGCAGGGAATGGTTTGACACTGTGGGAGCATCCAACTTCTTGTCATTCTGTTGGCTCATTTTAGCAGGGTTTGGTGATTCTTAACTGTAGTTCTCACTGCCTAAGTTGACTTCTGTTTCCATCATTTCTTCTCCACTTCCTAATGGGAATTCTACTGTAGGGTAGTTCTTCCTTCTTCTCCATTTGTTTGTATTAGTTATGAATTTGGAATTATCCATGTAGCACACATGCTTTTTCACAGACTCTACATGTTTTCACACACCAGGTCCCTCCCAACCCAGTTTCTTCACAACCAGAAGAGAGTGTTGATAGTCTAGGGTCCCTTGTTCACAGGAAGCTATTCACAAAGGAGGAAGGCCGGTCCTTATCCCCAGATCTTTATACATGGCCAGAGTCCCTACTGTAGTCAATGGACAGCAGAGTTTGGAAAAATCGGGTTTCTGGAGCAGGGAGGGTTTTGAGGACACAGGCGGACCAGGTTACAAGGTCTCCAAGGACACATGTAGGAAGACAGACTGAAACTCACACCAGAGAACACACACAGGAAACACTACAGCTTTGAAGAAGCCCTTGAGATCCTTCTCTGAGAAACATGTAGGCCCCCTTCGCCTTTCTTCTCTCTGTGTGTTTATTGGGACTCAAGGGCAGCGGGACCAGACTGAACAGAAACTATGTCTATAAATGGCGCCCCCAATGTGGGGCAGGAATTTCCATGTGAAACCCGACAAAAGCTTAAAAAAAAGATTCTGAGAACAAAAGAATAGAATCAAGCATGGCTTCTTGGTAGCAGCATTTTCTCAGGTGGCTCTGTTTGCTAGAGGCAAACTTTAAGAGAACTTTCCTGACTCAGCATGGCTCTTTTAAGAGGCCCTGCTACCAATTAAAGGGTGTTTGTGAGCAGCCGGTGGCAGCATGCTACTTGCTGGTGACATGGACCTAGAAACTCCACAGATCTGTGGCAATTAGCATGGTTCCCACCATCATGACACTAGACTCTCAGAAAGCCAAGAAATAGGGCCGGGCCTGCTGCTGCTTTAATCCTAGCCATGCTGTTTAGCAGATTAAAGACTCATGTGGTCAGAAAAAGATAGAGATATACAGTGAAGAATGATTCAGAGGGGTGAAAAAAACCTCTAAACAATTTGCACTGTATTTAAAAATATATGTAAGCTTGAGAGAGAGAAGAAAAAGGATAGAGAAAGTCCTAAAAAGAAAAGAAAAGAAAGGCAAAGAAAAGAAATAGAGTAGATGGGTGTGGTGGCACAGGCCTTTAATTCCCAGCACTCCAGAGGAAGAGGCCAGCAGATCTCTATGATTTCAAGGTCAGCCTGGTCTATAGAATGAGTTCCAGGACAGCTAAAAAAAAAAAAAAAAAAAGAAAAAAAAAAAGAAAGAAAAAAAACCTTGTCTCAAAAAATAAAAAATAACAGAAATAGAGTAATAAGAAAAGCCACGTAAAGATGGCAAATACAGAGAGATGCAGAACAGAAACTCAGTCAATACTCTGTGTTCCTCTTCCCAACCTTCTCCTAGTCTGGTAGCCCTGCCTATACTTCCTGCCTGGCTACATCCTGGCTATGCATTAGCCAAAACAGCTTTATTCATCAACCAATAAGAGAAACTTATATTCACAGCATACAGAAGGACATCCCTCATCAGGCATGGACCTATAATCCCAACTAGTCAAAGGGCAGAGAGATTGCAAATTCAAGGCCTGCCTAGGCTACAGAATGAGTTCACATCCAGCCTGGGCAACTTAGTGAGACCTTGCATCAAAAATACAATGTAAAAAGAGGCTAAGGATATAGCTCAGAGTGGAGTACTTGCTTAACACGCATAACATTCTGGTTCAATCCCCCATGTCATAAATAGGTAAACAAATAGTAAACCATAGATAGTCCTTTTATAAAAAAATTAGTTATGTATACATAGTGATTTTAAGTATGATTTCAAGGGACTTTAGAAAATCATTTTCCCCTATGGTCAGAGAATCCTGAAGCTGAGAGAGAGAGCTCAGATTAGACTGATGTGCTGTCACTACTCTTATCATACCCCTGACTCAGAAATCTCCAAAGGAGGAGAATTATAGACCTTTCTCAAGCTCTCAGACAGAGGCCAGCAAAGCAGAAAGCATGGCTCTGGATGCCAGAAGGACCTGGATCTTAGTCAGAGCTCTATATTCACTACCCTGGAGCCTCCAGCATGCCACTTAACCCCTTCCATTCTGTCTTTTCCTGTCTGCAACAATGTCATCTCAGCACATCTCATAGGCTCTGTGATGTGAGTGAAACACAATGACAAGAGGCCCCTTGGCCCACAGTAAGTGATGTTCAGGTTCTCTGCCAACCCTGCCCTCTCTGTGGTCTTGTTAGGATGCCAGTGGGAATTTGCCTCATCAGTGTTGCAGGCTTCGTATGGTGTCAGGAATGAGATATCTGCTCTCATCTCAGGGTTCTGCCTGCCCAGGGAACATTCCAGCAGTACCTACCTCAACAAATAGCCAATTAGCAGGAGGAGGCCCACAAGCCAGTCTATAGGGAGGTGGCAAGAAGCAAGTCCCCAAAAGCCACCTGTGTGACAAGCTGGGATAAACTGTCCTTACATGCATTAAATGGATTTCCCCATTTCTGTTTCCACCCTAAGAGGGTATTGCTATCTTCTGCTCAGAAGCTGGTAGCCATTTCCCTGACAGACTTGTGGGAGGGATTTCTACATCAGCACCATCTATCCTGTGGTCTTCCTTATCAGGAAGCTACTCAATTTCTGCCTACTCTTCTGAGTTTCCTACAGTAACTTCTATTAGTATTTCTACTCCCTTCTTAGCTTTGCCACACCTACAACCTTTCTATAACTAGTTCTTTTTTTAAAAAAAAAGATTTATTTATTATGTAAACAACATTCTGCCTCCATGTATGCCTGCATGCCAGAAGCGGGCACCAGATCTCATTACAGATGGTTATGAGCCATGTGGCTGCTGGGAATTGAACTCAGGACCTCTCAAAGAACAGCCAGTGCTCTTAACCTCTGAGGCATCTCTCCATCCCCTCTAGCTCTTTTTTGTTTGGAATTAATCTGTACTTACAGAAGAGTTATAAGAAAGCCTGCAGAACTGTTTGCCCTTCACATGGCTTCTCAGTCATTGACCTCTCCTGCCTTTCGTTCACAGATACATGTATGTGCACATACATTGCTAAAGCTATTTGAACTCTCAAATCTCAGAAAAGACTTCCTATTACTCAATAATACTATAGTGTGTATGTCCTAAAAACAAGGCTGGAAAGATGACTCAACAACATAGTAAGAACTCTTGCTCTTGCAGAGGACCTGAGTATAGCTCCCATCACCCACATCAGGCAGCTCACAACCACCTGGAACCCCAACTTCAGGGTATCTTACAATCTCTCCTAGTCCCTATGGGCACACACATACACATTCATACACATAGACAAACTCACATTACATGCACATAAATAAAAAATAAAGTTAAGGATATAGACCAGTGGTAGAGTGTTTACTGAGCATGATCAAGGCCCTGGGCGTGACTCACAGAACTGCTTCAAACAAACAAACAAGCATACCCAACAACAAAAATTTGTTAAAGACTCAGTGGCTAAGAGCACTGGCTGCTCTTCCAGAGGATTGAAGTTGGGTTCCTAATACCCACGCTGAGAAGTTCACAGCTGCTTCGAACTACAACTCCAGGGAGTCCTCTTCTGGCCTGTCTCACCCACACACACGCACACACACACACACACACACACACACACACACACACACACACACACGTAAACAGTCTTTTAAAAATAAGTAAAAACTTAAAAGGAACTAATCTTTCCTATAGTGTAACCTTCAAAGTCACGTTGATCTCTATTACCAGTTGGATCT